GGATGATGAATTATGCCGGTTAGCATGATCCAATAAAAAGTCCACTGATACTACTTCACTTGATAGACTTTCCCAAGGTAATCATAGTTAGTAGATCACATTTATTTCTATTAGTGCTTAACTTGTCACAATGATGGTGTGAATGGCGGATGTGGACAAGGTTTAGTTTTGATAAGTACTTCACTCTTTGTGAAAAGCATTTCAAGAAAATTTATGTTATATATTTCCTATGTACTCTTCCCTAAATGCTTATATGGAATTGTAAGTTTAGCTGCTTAGTGTTGGATCAAGTAGAGGTCACTAGAAAACCAGAGGTGGTTAGTCATGGTTTTTTCTTTGCAAGACACAAACCTGTTTGACACTTTAAATAAATTATTGATTAGAGAGTTTCATACAATGTATTTTGATCATATTCAGACCCCTCCTCTTCCTCTTCCCCCACCTTACTTACCCCTCCCCCATTTTCATGTCCTCTATTATTTGCCTTTTTTTAATTTAAAAAATTTTAATTTATTTTATGTGTATAGTGTATTGCCTGTGTGTATGTAAGTGCACCCATGTTGTGTAATGCCTGTGGAGGTCAGAATAGGGCATCAGATCCCCTGATACTGGAGTTGGGGTCATTGTTAGCTGCTGTGTGGGTGCTAGGAAACAAACCTGCTTCCTCTACAAGCGCAGCCACTGCTCTTAACCACTAAGCCATCTCTCCAGCCCTATTATTTGTCTTTAAAAAAACAAAAAATTAAAGGCCTGTGGGGTCTAGTCTGTGTTTCCCAAGACCCTTTCTTTGGGTTGCTATCAGCATTTCATACTTGAGTGAAAAGTCATAGAAACAACAGAAAAGACTGAAGAGTCTACCAGTTGTACTGTTTTTAGCACCAGGGGTTTTAAAACGAGAGACTATAGGAATCATCCTTCCAGATCAACAACAACTGGGTAACTGCCAGTCTGGACCTCTGTTTTCTAATTTTTTAAAAAAATATTTTATTTTTTATTTTTATTTTATGTGTATGAGTGTTACGCCTGCATGTAGGTAAGTGCACCCGTGTTGTGCAGTGCCCACACGCGGAGGACAGAAGAGGCTGTAGGATTCCCTGGAACTGGAGTTACGGGCAGTTGTTAGCTGCCGTGTAGGTGCTGGGATTCGAACCCAGGTCTACTGCAAGAATAGTCAGTGTTCTTAATGGCTGAGCCATCTATCTCTCCAGCCCCATTTTCTTTTGTTTTTTTTTTTCCTTTTTTTTTTTTTTTGTCTTTTTTGAGACAGGGTCTCCTTGTAGCCCCAGCTGTCCTGGAACTCATTATGTAGACCAGGCTGGCCTCAAACTCACAAAGATCTGCCTGCCTCTGCCTCCCAAGTGCTGGGTTAAACATTTTCTAATTTTTAATCAAATGAGTTATTATTATTGTTCCCAAATATTTTGTGTGCTAAGGGCTACACCAAGACCAGCTATTTAGGACATTGATTCTACATATTCTGGAAGCATTCATAGGTTTATAGTAAGATTTGAGTGTATATGATTTGAGATCTAAATATTGGAGGAAGGCTTTGGTCCTCTACTGTGAACCATGGTTCCACATTCCTCTGGCTGTGGGCTGATGGTGGAACAAAATGGAGGATGGAGGACTTCCTGATGTTATTCATTAATTTCAGTCTTCCTTTCCCCACAGTCCCCTCCCCTGAGGTCCCAGCTTGTGTATGGCAGAGACTTTGCTTCTTATGCTGGGGACAGGAGAGGTCTCTGGCATTTACAGATTTTGGTTTTAGGAGGACTGATTCTCTGGAATGAACCTCCCATCTCTGTTGAGGCCAGCTGTGGTCTTCATTCCACATGTGGTTCTGGGTATCCAGGCCTTGATGTTAGCTCTCCCACTACCAGACACCAAAAGCTTTTCCATTATTTTTCTATTACTCTTCTATAGCCCCTGTATGCTTTCACCTATGCCCTAATTGAACTTCTAAAGATTAAAAAAAAATCACACTGGGGCACAAGGGTATAGCTCAGCCATTAAGAGCACTGGCTGCTCTTGCAGAGGACCCAGGTTCAATTCCCAGCACCCACTTGGTAGCTAACAATCATTCATAACTCCAGTTCCAGGGGATCCAATGCCCTCTTCTTACCTCCGTAGTCATTGCACAACATGGGTGCACTTTAAATACATGCAGGCAGTACACTCATACATATTAAATAAAAGTATAAAATCTTTTTTAAAATTAAAGTCTTGGAAGTTTTAAAAAAAAATCTCAAATTAGAAATATGTAATTACATCTTAGAATATAAATTCACAGTTCTATATGTCTACTATAATTTTAAAATATTATTTACTGACAAAACTGTACTACCAACCAGGCATGGTGGCACATGCTTTTAGTCCCCACACTTAGGATGCAGAGGCAGGTGGATCACTGTGAGATTGATGCCAGCTGGGGCTACAGGACCAAACCAAACCAAACAACAATAAAAAAGCTGTATTACCAAGCTTCAACAATTTGTCACTGTTCCTATGAGTTTGCTATTCACTCCCTTTCCAAATTCTTCAACCTTTGCAAAGTTTTTCAGTGTAATCATGTTGTTTCATAAAGCAAACAGTGCTACTAAAATATTTTTAAACAATAAAAATAAAGTTCAAATTCTGAGAAATTAAAACAAACAAGGTAGCTTTCAGACCTGCAGTAATCAATGATTCCTTGGGCCCATCTGATCTCCAGATTGCATCCTTTATGCAAGCTGTCTCATTTTAAAGGTAGACAGGTATAGACTTGAATCTTTAAAGTAGATTAATAATTTGGCCAGCCACTGAATCAGAGGGGGGAGATGGTGGTATGACCTGAATATTATGAGTTGCTCCTATTCTGAGATTGTGATCAGAAAAAAATGTGGACGAGGAATAGATGTAGTAAGATAGTGATAATTTAACATTCAAGATAGAATGTTTTATGTACCACTGGGGGCGGGGGTGGGGGAGAACACATGGGAATAGACTATTCAGCACTCCTATTTGTTTTGCTTAGCTTATCTGAGAAATTAGGAGAATAATATTTGGGGTGCTTTTTTGAAAATCCTTTAGAACCAGACTACCTATTATGTCAAAGCAAGACAACAAATTTTATGCAGAAACAATCCAGCCAGTGTGTCTTTGACTTAGTACTTTTCCTGACATTAAGTCCCAAAGATCAGCAAGCTGAAGTACTTGTTAATGCATGCCCCTCCAATATTAGACAGTACTTCTATTAAGCTAGTTTTCATGCCAAATGTGGTATACAAACAAATTTTCTTATATGTTTTAAAACTTTTTATTTATTATTCTTAATTTATTTGTGTGTATTGCCTGCATGCATGTAAGTGCACCCATGTCATGCACTGCCCACGGAGGTCAGAAGAGGGTATCAGATCCCCTGGAACTGGAGTTGTGGATGGTTGTTAGCTTCCATTTAGGTGCTGGGAATTGAACCCAGGTCCTCTGCAAGAGCAAATAGTGCTGCTAACAACTGAGTCATCTCTCCAGCCCCTACAAACAGATTTTCATCACCAAGATAAATGTTGCAAACATGGCCACCTCCCTCCAACACTGATGGTGGGATTCTCTGCAGATGCCAACTGTAGCAGTGATATACAAGCCTTTGTGCTTCCCTCAACCACTCTAATCAAACTCATCTGGGGACCCCTTGCAAAGCAGATTACCTGTCTGTCTCACCCACATCAAATCATGGCTTACCACAAACCCTCGCCACACATCTTTTGAACCCCTAACTTAGGAATGAGTCCATAGTCCTTTTAGAAGATTCCCTTTACTAGATAGAATCATGAATTTTAGTCCCAAAGAACTTTATATGGTCTGTATAAATTTCTTGGAAGAAAGTACAGTTTTGATTAGCCATCTTAAAATGAAAACCTCTAAAATGTATTCACAAGAGATCATAGATGAGAACCTGAACAGAACTTCCGGGTAGACCCATTGTGTATATTATGTGAACAGGATGACTACAAGCCAGCACAGTAGTGAGGCACAGGTAAAAGTTGGTCAAACTGTGTCTGAATCTAGTTTACTACTTATTAGCTGGATAACTTTGATCACATTCTATAACTTCTGAGATAATAATCCCCCTTTACATAAGCTTATTAATACTGAGAATATATAAAGTGCTTAGCATAGTACTTCTCACTTAGAAAACAGTATGCACTGTTACTCTATTGTTATGAGTATGACTTAATCCTGTATAAGAAATTTCATGACTAATTGTGAAGTTGTCAGAGCTCCATGTGGTACTCATGTCCTTCCTAATGTCTAGACAAAATGGATAATCTTAACAGCCATTAGAAAAGAAACATGTAACTTCAGCAGAGCTAGCAGAAAGCTCTGTAGTGAACAAGTCAAGACATTATTCTTTGTTCTTTTAAAGAGGAAATTCTTGACAGTGTTTGATAGAATATTTTCTCAACTTTTCTGTCAATCAGCAGTTCTCTTTATTTTGACAGATATTGACAGAAGCTTTGCCTCAGTGATTTGCTCATCTGAATTTAATTTCAGTGTTTCACAGGATAATGATGGAACAAGTGAAAAAAATTTTCTGTTATGTCAGGACATTCAAGTATTAGTGGTTAAATTCACAGCATTAGCAATGCCCTTTTAAGAAACATAGGCCAGGTGTTGGCACACACACACAGTCCTACCATAACTGTAATATTTTTTATATTTAAGTAGAACTTTACTTGGGAACTGAACAACATACTTAACGTTTAAAAATTTTAAATGTTGAAGTTTAAGAATTACTGTCTTTAACCAAGAGAAATCACTATTAGTAAAACAAGAATGTATAACCTCAAAGTTAGAAGTCATTGCTACCTAATACCTCTTATTATTAATATGTTTACAAATACATATTGTACCTACTTTTGCTTCTTGGTTATGCCAGTTATACATTTAATTTTTTAATGTGTAGTATGAAATAACTTATTCAAATCTATAGTTACAAGTTTTTTTAAAAAATGCTCTTCTAGCTTTTAGTAAAACATGGGGGAGACTTGTTTGCTGAGAATGAAAATAAAGATACTCCTTGTGATTGTGCTGAAAAGCAGCACCACAAAGATCTGGCCCTCAATCTGGAATCTCAGATGGTGTTCTCTCGGGACCCAGAGGCTGAAGAAATAGAAGCTGAGTATGCTGCATTAGACAAACGAGAGGTAAGGTGTTCTTTTGTTTCTTTTAATTTTTAAAATTATGCTTTTATATTAAATTTTTTATTTTTCTTCTTTAAAACTCAGTTTCAGTGATCATCTTTGCAGTATGCTAAATAGCCTTAGCAGAACTTAATCCATAGCAATATGTATAAAAGAACATCTGCAAAGCCTGGGAGTGAGTCTTTCCTCTCACTTGTTAATATGTTTACTAACATGGAAATGGATTGTTTACGTCCTGTTTTCCCCTACTGCTTCATGGATCCACTCTTCATCCTCAGTCTTTCCCTTTCTCACAGATTGCTCTTATCAGCACACAAACCTTGCTAACTGTCATCTAAAACACAAAACCAAAGGAAAACTAACAAGGAAAAAATGACCACTGATTGCTGTTCCCCAGCCCTGCCCCTCTTTTGTTATAGTCTCTTGCCTCTGGTCTTCATTTCAAAAGAACAAAATGTAAGTCTGTACCTACCAGCATCCTCACTTTCTGTTCACTTTCATTCCCCTGCATTAGGGCATTCTCTTCTTCTAGGATGGACCTGAACTTGCCATGGAGTCACATGTTAACTTTTTTCTTCATCCTCTTGTCTCCTCATCTTGAATGCCTCAGCAGTACTTCACATACCTGACTTCTCCCTTCCTAAAGAAATACTTCCTTGGCTTTAGAGGCATTATTCTGCTTTCCCTGTTTGAGTAAACTACTATCTACTCAGTGGCACAAACATAAATGTGGCAGGCATGCTTGACTTTTCATATCTCCTTAACCTCGGCATATTGCATCCAAACAATCATGGAATCCTGTTAATTTTAGCTCCCAAAATGTAACCTGAATCTGTTCATCCTAAACTGTACTCTTACCTCTCTGTCTCTTTAGTTAGGTTACTTATCGAAGAGAAAGGGATCCTATGTCCTAAGTATTTTGCTGACCCTTTCACATAATATTTAATCCAGAAAATATTTGAATACGTTGTCGCTGTCAAAATAAGGTGAATTTTACTCATCCAACTTAAGATCCAAATATCTTCTGTTTCCCATATTGCCTGCCTTTTGACAGTCCCTGATTCTGAGTGAAACAGATATTACTACTATAATATTAAGATCATTTAGTGAGAAGACATTTTAGCATTAATAATCCAGAAATAATGTTGATGTGATTAAATGGATAGCGAATTATGATGATTCATTTAGTGTTTTTATCTCATGACACCATCTTAATTTAATTCATAATTATGAATTAAAAGTAATAGAACTTGGTAATGGTGATAAAATACATTTAGAATAAAAGTATAAATTTAACATTTATAATCACAATGAATTTAATATAGTTATAATAAACTATTATATTAAATTGAAAAATATTACAGAACATTTAATACTAAATTTATAGAGAAGTTTCATAAGTGATGACGATTAAAATATACCAAAATGGTAGTTGTGGTTATAAGTCATTTTCTTTACTATTATTTTCTGTTTTCGTTCCTGCAGTTGTAATAAATATATACAGTTGAAAAGGTAAAGCAAAAAAATTCTCTTTCCTGACTCTATCCCCAGATGGTAACTACTTTTTATACTGTGAGACCTCAGCAACTATGTAGAGAGTTTTTGATGTGGGTAAAATCATAAAATACATTGAGTTTTACTAAAACTTTTAACTTAATGATTTATCACGGACCCTTTTCCAGGGTCAGGACATATAATTTGTATATTTTAAGTACTTGCTTGTTGATGAACGTTTAACTAATTTAGATACTTTTACTTTACAGCTTGAGCTATTTTTTGTTTTTTTATGGTATAGTATACAATATGTCATGTAAATCTTAATTTAGTCCTTTTTTTCCAAAGGATTCATTTATAAATGGGTATGATTCACTGTTTAAAGAATAATTTCATTGAATTATATAAATTACCTTAGTGCTGTTTTAGTAACAAAAATAACAAATTAATCAGATGACTTTTAAGAGCCATCATCATTTTTGGATTTTTAATTTACTTTTTAAAAAATATTTATTTTTATTTTGTGTGTATGAGTGTATTGTCTGCATGTATGTAAGTGCCCCTGTGTGATGCCAATGTCTACAGAGCTCAGAAGGCATCAGATCCCCTGGAACTGAAGTTACCAAAGGGTTGTTAGCCACCATATGGGTGTTGGGAATCAAACTTCAGTGCTCTGCAAAAGCAACCAGTCCTCCTAACCTCTGAGGTATCTCTCCAGCTCCTAGTTTACTTCTTAATCCCATCCTCCAACAAAATTGAGGGCCTGCTTTGACAGGCACTGTCTTAGGTTAATTGGAGATATCAGTGAGGAGCAAAGATACCTGCTCTCCTGGCATTTCTATTCCACCAGGGAGAAACACACAGGAATTTAAAGAGTAAATGAGCACATAATCTTCAGAGAGTCGTACCTACCATAGGGAGTAGAAACTGAGTTTTTAAAGCACTAAAAACCAGGAAAACTGGTGAACATAAAAGTATGCATTGTAAAGGGTGGAGTGCCTGTCCCGGAAGGCTCCAGGTTCTTCATCTGGCTGGGAACCCACATGCTAGGCATTGCCTTAAATTAATCTGCTCTGCTTTGTAGGAGCACAGCTTCCTGCTAGGTCAAAGCACAGGGTATTCTAGGTATTGATGCCTAGGCAAGAACAGCTCAATGAGAGAACTTGAAAAGAAGCTAAGTTCATGGAGTCACTAAGAAATTGGTATCAGGGTGGAACCATCCTTTCTTCTCTTTCCCCAAAGTGTCTTTCATGTCTTAAATTCTCTCTCTCTCTCGCTCTCTCGCTCTCTCGCTCTCTTGCTCTTTCTTGCTCACTCTCGCTCTCTCTCTGCATGCATGAGTGCGTACGTGTTTAGGTCAAGACATCTTTCAGGAGTCATTCTCTCTTGTGACCTTGTCAGATCTGGGAATCAACCTTGGGTCATCAGGTCTGCACACAAGTGCCTCTACCCCCTGAGCAATCTTGCAAGCCCCATGCCTTTTTTACAGTGAAAGTGTTTCACCTATAGGTGAAAATAGAAGCAGTTTATCTTTGCAAAAGGAAAGCGAACGGTGCCTTTTTAAATCCTTCCTGTAGAAGGGAGAGCTAGTACCCACTTAAGACTGAGCAATACATTGAGATGCTTCGCATGACCTAATTGCAGTTCTGTTGCAGAGGTTCACAGAATATGGCATACGTTCACAAAGGCAATATGCCTTTGTCCTTCAAGAATTCCTTTTTCCCATTGTTATCTGTTTCTGGTTAGAATTTCATGCATTAAAAAATTCAGTGTCTGGGAACTAGAGAGATGGCTCAGCAGTTAAGAGCACTGGCTACTCTTGCAGAGGATCCAGGTTTGATTCCCAGTACCCACATGGCAGCTAACAACCATTTGTAACTCCAGTTCCAGGGGATCTGACACCCTCTTCTGTCCTCTGCGTGCATTGCACAGCATGGGTGCACTTACATGCATGCAAGCAATACACTCATACACAAAAATAAAAATAAATAATAATTAATGTCTGTAATATACTGTCCTTTCTTGTATATCTGAAATCCAAACTCTTTAACTATGTTGTCAAAATTCCACAGAAAGCTAATTTTTTTTAATCACTTGCACTATTGGTTTTTAAGTAACACTGATCTGTAGAGTCATAATTAAATTCAGTTTACTCTCAACTGATTTAACATGAATCGGGTAGATGAAGATGATGGCTCATCTGAAAAGAACATTAGGAAATCAGTGCAGGAAGTAGACACTTGCCACCATTGGGGATATCAAGTAATAACGCTCATTGCTAAGGGAAAGAGGGATTCCTGGAATCTCAGACTCAACTTGGAACATATTTTCAAGGACACTGATAGACTTTATGTAACTTCTGTACTGTAATGAATGCTACAGATTTAAATCATTAAGAATTTGCTGTGAGAAGGGCTGGAGAGATGGCTCAGCATTTAAGAGCACTGGCTGCTCTTGTAGATGACTGGGTTTGATTCCCAGCATCTACATGGTGGCTAACAGTTGTCCATAACTCCAGTTCCAGCCAGGCATGGTGGTGCATGACTTTAATCCCAGCACTCAGGAGGCAGAGGCAGGCAGATCTCTGGGAGTTTTAGGCCAGCCTGGTCTCCTTAGTGAATCCAGGCCAGCTGGGGCTACAGAGAGACCCTGTCTCAAAAAGACCGAAAAAAAAAAAAAAAAAAAAAGCATAACTCCAGTTCCAAGAGATCCAGTGCCTTCTTCTGAATTCACAATATGGATGCATCAGCCTACATGCAGGTAATGCACTCATACACATAAAATAAAAAATTAAAATAATAAAATAATTTCTTAAAAAAAAAAAAAGAATTTGCTGTGGGGCTAGGCATGGTAGCATATACCTTTAATCCCAGCACTGGGGAGGCAGAGGCTGGCACAGGCAAATTGAGATTGAGGTTAGCCTGGTGCTACATGGAGACTGGGGAAAGTGTCTTTATAATTAGCTTGACAACAAACTTGGGCTTTTTCTAATGGTAATTCATATTCCAGTGTTCATTTAATAGAATCTCTATTTGGAACATTTTGGGTTAATTTTTCATTTCTTTCTAGTTAATTTCATGCATTATCAAAATAGGGATAGCTATGGCAGGATGGCTGAATAGATGCAATGTGAAATAGGTAGTTTATGGCATGTAATGTAAAATGTGCACGTAAGTCTGCACCTGAGTTTTAACAGGAAGAACAGTACAGACTGATTATGCAAACTGATATTACTAGTATCTCCTGTGTTAACATTCTAAGCAGTTTTTATTTGTAAAATTTATCATTCTGCTTGTAAGTAATCCTCAGCAATTTATAGGTTTACCTTCTGTTTTAATCCTTGTATTTTTTTAATGTCATGATATTAGCATTTTAAGTTCAGTAAAAGCTTTTATTCTTAACACCTGGATTTTTACGAACCCAGGATAATGATTTTGAATGGCTAATGAGTGTTGTAGCATGGAGATTTTTTTTATTTTATTTATTTTTATTTTATGTGTATGAGTGTATTGCCTGCATGTATGTGAGTGCACACGTGTCACGCAGTGCCACAGAGGTCAGAAGAGGGCTTCGGATTCCCCTGGAACTGAAGTTAAGGACGGTTCATAGCTGCCATGTGGGTGCTGGGAATTGAACCCGGGTCTTCTGCAAGAGCAGTCAGTGCTCTTAACCGCTGAGCCATCTCTCCAGCCCTGCATGGAGATATTTTTAATTCCCTTAATATATATTTTGAGTTATTTCTATTTTTTGCTTTTGCAAGTAACAGAGGATTGGTTTGTCCACAGTGCAATAGATTCTTAGAAGTTAAAAGGTGAATATTCAAAGGAAAGCTCATGATACATGATGCTAAGTTGATAATTTTTTTTCACATGGTGAATCTGAGGACCAGCTTATTAAAACTTTACAAGCATTAAGTGTTGTGGTTTTTTTCCTAACCTTGGCCAAGTTGCTAAATAAAAAGTTTGTACTTTTAAGAATGTTTGTCTTTTAACTTTGTAATTTGCTGATTGTCATACACTTTTCTTAAAATCTTAGTAGACTTGAAACTGGAGAGATGGCTCAGTGGTTAAGAGCACTGACTGCTCTTGCAGAG